AGGACTAAAACGTGTAACATATTGGTAAATGGGAAGAAAACGTTCAAATGTGAAGTGGAACAAGGGAGGGGGAGGGGAAAATCCAAGGAGGGACAAGATGATAAAAAGAATAGGACAAAATGGAATGAACTGTTTGTAAGTAAGGACAGGAAGAGGGTTTGGAGGGGAAGGGAATGGGAAAAAGAGATATATCTTGTACAGGTACAAATTCCCTATGATAAATGTTACCATTATGTACATCTAAAATGTACCAATAAGTCAGGGATATAGCTCAACTGCAAGGTCCTGAGTTTGAGTCCTGGTACTAAAAAAACAAAAATGTGCCAATAAAAAAATCATTAAAGGCCAGGCGTGGTGGCGCATGCCTGTAATCCCAGCACTCAGGAGGCTGAGGCAGGAGGATTGTTGGGAGTTCGAGACCAGCCTGGGCTACAAAGTGAGCTCAAGGCCAGCCTGAACTGCATAGTGAGACCCTGTCTCAAAAAGAAATTATTAAAGAGCAGGGTGTGATAGTGCACACCTTTGATCCCAGTATTCTGAAAGCTGAGGCAGGAAGATCATTGCAAGTTGGAGACCAGCCTCGGCTACAAAGTGAGGCCAGCCTGAACTGCATAGAGAGACCCTGTCTCAAAAAGACAAAAAAATAAAAATTATTAAAGTGTGTGCATGTATGTGTGTGTGCGCACGTGTGCATGCACGTTTTGCAGTAGAGTCTCACTATGTTGCTCAGGTTGGCCTTGAACTGCAGGACTCAAGCAATCCTCCTGCCTCAGCCTCCCAAGTAGCTGGTTCTTTTGGTTTTTTGGGGTTTTTTCTGGTACCAAGAATCGAACTCATGACCTTGCGCTTGCCAGGCAGGCGCTGTGCCACTGAGCTAAATCCCCAGCTCCCCCCACTTTTTTTTTTTGGTCCTCCCAAGTAGCTGGGACTACAACCATGTACCACCACACCTGGTTTAAAAAAAGCTATACTGACAGCTTGTTTTATTGCCATTTTCCTCTTTCTCTTACAAGCTGAATGGAAGTAAAATAAAACATTTTTCTAGCTTTTATTACCTGGGTTCTTTCTCTTTTTTTTTTTAAATGATACTGGAGATTAACTAAGAGAGTCCTGAGCTACAGCTCTAGCCCACTTTATTTTTATTTTGAGATATGGTTTTACTAAGTTGTCCAGGCTGGTCTTGAACTTCCACTCTTCCTTCAGCAGGCTTTCCCAGTAGCTAGGATAGTAAGTGTGCTGCCAAATCTACATCTACCCAGCTGGTTCTTATGATCAAGTCCTGACTGCATGTCACTGCCTTCTAATATGAATGAATGACCTTGCATTTGAGGTTCTATCCCTAGCCCTGGACAGGCTCAGTGCATGCTGATTCTTCTCACATTTGACTCCACCTTTTCCTCATGGCTGAGTTGCTAGCTTGCTCCCCCACTTGCCTGACTGGACCCTAGCCACTTCCTCTGTCAACTCCTGATATATCTTCAAGCACTGTCCCATTATTCTCATTCTCCTGCGTCATGGCACTCAAGGGTGAAAAGAACTCCAGCTCATTCTGGGCATGGTGACACACACACTACAGGAGGCTGAGGCAGAAGGGTCTCAAGTTCCAGTCCAGCATGAGTAATTTAGCCAGTTAGTAAGAATCTCAAAATAAAAATTTAAAAACCTGGGAGTTGTAGCACAGCGCAAAGGCCCTAGGTCCAACCTTCAGTAGTACCCTCCCCCCAAAAAAGGTTTGACTGCCCATGCCTTGCACCCTGTCCTGGGGGAAATACTGCCCCATCTAGGTGTCAAGATGCAGCAACTCTCCCCTCTCCATGCACCCACAGCGTGCTCACTGTATCCCCTGCAGTCACCTGAAAGGAATCCTTGTGAAATCCAGCCCCAGCCCAACAGCTGTCAGGTTGTAGGAATAGTCTTGATCTCACAACACATGACCCTTTACCAGTAATTCAAAGAGGAGGAGGTGCCTGCCCTCCAAGCCCTCCACATATGCCTGCACCCGACACTGGTGGTACACTGTGCCACCACAGCCCAAACAGAGACTGAGCGGGCAAGCAGGGGCCAGCTATCTCTCAGAGCCAAGGCACAGCACACAAAAGGTCTCCTGGGGGGCGTCACATTCTCAGGACACTGCACCCTGAGGGGCCCCCACCATTATCTGGCACAGGGCAGCTGATGAAATGCCTGCTATCTGGTCAGCGCACACCCAGCTCCTCCTGGGGCTCCTGTACCTCCTGAGGGTGCCTGTAGCTAAAATGATAAGAAGTTCTCAGGGTGAAAGAGCTCTGGACAACTCAGCTGCCAGGCAAGGAGCAAGAGGGATGGCAATCGCATTAGCCCTGCTGTGGACAAGCACCTGCACACGTTTCATAGACAGGCCCTGTTTTCCAAGGTCCAGACACAAATTCTTACTCTCACAGCTTTCTAACCACATAGTTCAGGACCATACTCCATACCTGGAGAACTGCTAAAGCCAGTGGAAGAAATGTCATTGAAATATAAAACAATTTTGAAGAGATTTTTGTAGTAATTTTCTAAAAATTAACGAACATCAGAATTCTCTTCACCTTGGCATTTTTGGTCTCCTGTCTTAAAGACACACACAGTGACTGTGCCTGCTGTCTCTGGGGGGTGCCAAGGCCTGAGGCCTCTCTCAGGAGGATCTGTTATGAATTAACGGTGGTGATCCTACTTCCTCTTGGCTCCACAAATATCAACAACCACAGCAGCTTTTGTATGTAATGTACAAAGACTTTTGAGGAAACTGTAAACGCTAAAAATGGGTTTTCATCAGATTTCCTCATAACCTATGTGTTTTTCTGTTTAAAAAGGCTGCTGTAACTTTCCAAGATGACTCGTGCTACATTTCCCAGATGGAGCTTGTACTTTTTATTTTTGCTTTTACCCTCTTTTTCTTTTTGCTTTTACCCTCTTTTTCTTTATACATGGCCCAGGCTCACTCTGCAAGCCAATTTTAACTCCACTCTTCACTTTTACTTTCTTGAATAAACTTTGTCACTGTTAAAAAAAAAAGTTAAAAAACCTGGGTGTGGTGGTGCAGTGGGGTTTAAAGCCAGCCTGAACTACACAGTGAGACCCTGTCTCAAAAATAAAAGTAAATGAAAAGTTTAAAAAAGTCAATGTGCCAACCACAGGCTGATTTCTCAAATCGCTCATTCAACGTTTTGATGAGGTAGCCCAGCTCCTAGGATGACGGAAGGAGCTGCTTGTGCCTTGTTCAAGTCAGTGTTCACAGCACACTCCATGGGCAGGGTGCAGACAGGAAAGAGGTCACTGGGCCAGCGGTTAGTAGGCAGGTCTGGGCACAGCAGCACTAGCAAAGCCTCACTAGAGACCCTGGACAGCTAATGTTTCAAAACGAATTTTCCTACTGACTGGAACACTCACGGGTGTTCTGGGCACACTTCAGCACCCAGGGCTCCAGCATCCATCTGCCTGGCTGAGCAACATCTCTCTTTATCTAAGGCAGCCCTGCTCCGTGCTGCACACAAGCCAAGAGCAGGGCAGGAAGATAAATCAGGCACAACTGCTTTTCCGCCAAAATCTACAATGAAGTAACTCTCTTCATGCATAAGCATACCAAGAATTCCCCTAGACTCTGTGCAGGCAGCAGATGAAAGGTGGCACCTACCTGTCCTCAAAGTACACACCTGCCCCAAATCCCACATCACTCCCCACGAGGGCACTTTCTACATCAAGAGATGTGTGACAGGCAACCTCTGAAACTCTCTGCGTTATTGTATCCAATCATGACGATTTCCTCAATGTTTCATTCCCCTAAGCTAGAATCCCCAAGAGACCGGACCACTCATTTTCTGTTGGCCAGTGTGACCCCACAGACAAGAGCTCAACACACGTTTTGAACTGTAGTCTTTGTACTGAGCTACATCCTTAGTCTTGTTTTTTTATTTTTTTTTGAGGCCTAGTCTTGCCAAATTGCTAAGTTGTTCAGGTTGGGTGGGCTCCAACTTTTGACCCTCCTGCGTCAGCCTCCCAGAGTGCTGTGATTATAGGCAAGAGCCACTGGATTAAACACATTTTTAAAGAAGGAATGAACAATTAGAAAAACCTCAAAAATTTCTAAATTTTATCAGGCCCTTATGTTTTTTTGGTTTTTGTTTGTGTTTTGGTACTGGGAATCAAACTCAGGACTTTGTACTTGCCAGGCAGGCACTTGTGCCACTGAGCTATATCCCTGGCCCCAGGCCCTTATGTTTAAAAATTCCTACAATCATGGCTAGAAACGAGCTAGGGGAAAACTGTTTTTCATTTGGATGTTAAAAAAACATTCATTTTGATTTCTTTTTTTTTTATTTTTGGTTTTTTTTTTTTTTCCAGTACCGGGAATCAAACTCACGACCTCGCCCTTGCCAGGCAGGCGCTGTGCCGCTGAGCTAAATCCCCAGCTTGATTTCTTTTAAGAAGCTACTCAGCCAGGCCTGGTGGCACATGCCTGTAATCCCAGCACTCAGGAGGCTGAGGCAGGAAGATTGTTGCGAGTTCGAGACCAGCCTGGGCTACAAAGTGAGCTCAAGGCCAGCCTGAACTGCATAGAGACCCTGTCTCAAAAAGACAAAAAAAAAAAACCAAACTACTCAACCACGAGTCGATTCGACTGTATTATGGCTTCTTGGGCTGGGTGTTAATACCCCCGTCCCAGTGCCACCATGCTCACCAGCCAGAGGCAACAGCCCTGTACTCCTGGGGTTCAGACAGCGTCCCTTCACCTTGTGAATATTTTGCAAAATAGCATAAACGCACAATACAAGGTAGGCACAGTTTTGCTTCTTTTTTGTTTTATTTTTTGAATGGGGGGAACTCCAGCCCATTCTGAGAATGCTTCAAAGCAGACACTTCCATGAAGCTGGCGGCCGACGGACGGAGTCCAGGAAGAAGTTGTGCTATCGTCGCCCGAAATGATCAAGAGGGCACCTGCCGCCCCGCCCCGCCGCCCGCCGTCCCCGGCGCGGCTCCCTTACCTGCCAGCCTCCCACGTTCGGGGCGCACGAGAGCCAGTAGCTTCCGAGCCTCTGAGCGCCCAGCCGCGGGGCGGGCCTGCCTGTCGTCCCCGGAGTCCGCCGCCGGCGCGCGCTGCCCAACCTCTGTCCCCGCCCGGGCCGCTGCCGCGGGAGCGCCCTG